AGAACGAATTAAGTTCGTGACCCGAGGTACCACTGAATAAGACTATCAGGCACAGTTGTTTTACACCTTATTGAAGTAAGGGAGGTTTTGATATAATACATTTATGGGAGCCTATGTAGGAATGTCAAATATACTACCTTGAGTTCCAGCATGGAAAAAAGTGAGGATTTAAGCAAAATACTTCTCTTTATTTGGTTACCATAATTTGTCACCTCAATTGATTCAAATTTATAACTGCTTCAAGGCAAAGCAAAACGTATTGTTGAAAAGATGAGCAAGTTGTCTCTGCTGCAGCTTGTTAACCTGTAAGGAAGGAATGCTTGTAATTCATGTTTACCTCTTTTTTTAAATCTCCCTTTTTCTTCTTATTGCTCCCCTCCAAAATGTAATTCCTACCTGTTGTGGAACTAATCAGACTGCAGACCAAACTGTAAGGTAAGTTGTGTTGGCTTATTGTTGGGGCAGGGAATGTTGTTCGTTAGAATACAAGACTCTGAACTTGGGATAAGCCCTAAATGTATTACTGACTGCAGTGAATAGGAATGAGAGGTAATATATTTTGGGAGAGGCTGAAATAGACCAAGGGCACAATACAGTAGTAGGAGTAGGAAAGTGCCTGAGCTAGAAAAATATCTCCTTGTGATCCTACAAGCCCTACCCCATTACTCTTCTAATTCTTCACGGGAGGTACCAGACTTTTTTCCCATCCTGAAAGCTGGAAATATGATACAGTTTTCCATAGTTTAGGACCAGAAGAAACCAAATTTCTCTTTGATATGCTGTTTTGCAAAACTGGGCTGCAAAGGCATAAGCACCAGTGTAAACAAATAGCCTTGAGAAAGAGTTGATTTTGGAAACTGGAAAATGTGGGCTTTCTGAAGGAAGAAGAGACTGCTGCATTCTCCTCCTCTCCTGTGGACTTCTTGAATCTGCTTCTTGCCTTTCCTTTCTGGCTATCCTTTCTTTCCTGCTATTTCTACCCCATATTCATGTTTGTGCTGTAGTTTGTCCCAATGGATAGAAACACTGCCTGTGTCAAGGTGCTGCGGGACATTGAGCCAGATGATGAGATCACATGCTTCTATGGTGACGGCTTCTTTGGGGAGAACAATGAATTATGCGAATGCTACACTTGTGAAAGGTGAAGATGGAGAGGAGCGGGATCTCAAAGGTTGGGAGCTGGGATGGTCAGATTTCTGAGCTTTTGAGAAACAGTTGGAGGATGGGAAATTAAACGATAATCTCCATTAACTCTTGCTCCCATCTTCCAGTGCTTTCAGCAATCATTCCTGTCAAGAAGTGCAGACTGCTTAATGCCCAGGTGTTAACAAGCTCCAGTTCTCAAGGGATGATTGCTAGTTAGCATAGGATTTTGAGGGGGGAGGGGCAGTATTTTTTCTTCAACTATCCCAAGAGCCTTCATAAGATCAACAGTAGCATCTAAAGACTAGGAAGAGGAAGTTATAGCTCTTCTGCCACAGAGATCATCAGTGTTATGATTATTATGTCTTAATTTTTCACGCATTTGGCAACTACCTTAGAGTTTGTTTTTTCCAAGGATAGAAAGGGATGTATAAATATTTTAAGTAAGCAGTGATCTTTTTGATTAATGTTGGGCTGCTCCTTATATTGTCTCTCATTCTCAACTTCTTAGAAAGGGGGAAGGAGCTTTTCGCCTCCTGAATCAGACACCGTTGCTATCTACCTCAGTCAATGAAAAATACCTGCTGAGAGAGACAGATGGTCGTCTGCAGAGGTGGAAAAACCAGTCTCGCAAGCTTGCTCAACGTAGTGTGAAAGTGGGACACAAAGCCCGGCGCAGGAAGTCACAATTACATGGTGAGATATGCAAAAAATGCTTAACTGGAATGGATTTTGTGCATCATAGTGCTGTGCAGGGCAATATAGTTTGTATGTCCCCTGTGATGTGATCATCGTGCCCCCTGTAATGAGCCTTCCATTCCATCCCTGTCAACCTCAGTGTTTGTTCCACAGTGGTAGTTATCTCAGCTCCCTTTGTGGTAACAAAAGTAAAGTAGCAATTTGCTCTTTATTAAAATGGATAATCAAGAACCATTCTAGCTATTAGATTAGAGCCTGGCAGAATTAATTGGGTAGCTAACATTATAGTTCCTGTATTGGGAAGAGTAAGCAAAGTTCAGATATTTGGCTCCAAAGTGGAAAAGGTATGCAACCCTGTTGCTGCCTCTTTAATGTTTTTTGGGACCTTGCAGTTATTGTGTGATCCCAGGAAAATGCGCAGTTTCTCTGTGGGGCCGCTGACAAGTACAGCGAGGTTACCTATGCCAGATCTGTTTAGAGTCACATACTTGCATATTCTGAGAAAGAGTGTTATAGGATTATGGCTGTTAGTGTCAGAGGTTGAATGGTGAAGCAGTAGTACACTTGCTTCATCTTCTTAAAGCCCTTGAAAAGTCTTACTGTTGCAGCAGGGAGAAATGGAAGTTGCCTGTTGTGTAGTGAAGACTTGGCAGCAGTAGTTAAATAAGATGAAATTGGGGAGAGGAGTGGTATTCTTAGAACTGATATCTCTTTTCCTTTTCTAGGTGCTGTACACAGATATACCACGCGCTGGTATCCCAGGATGCTAAAGCCTTTATACATCCCACTGCACAACTGCTTGGCCTGCAGAGCACGTAGATGCAAGCTCCGTAAGCAGCCCCTGGTGTGTCTGCTTCGTTGTCCTCCTCCTGTGCTGCCTGTATTGCACCTGAGGCAATCTTTGAGAAACAAGAATTGCTACTCCAAGGCCCAGCAGCACTGCTCCCTCATAAAAGTGCACAGTTGCCCTGGAAGCCTGGGCTTGGCAGGCCAGTGCAGCTTGGTAGTGAATCTTGGGAAAAGAATTCCCTTGGACTGGGCGCGGTTTCATAGAGAAGTAGTGTGTGACGTTAAGGAGAGAAAACCTCCTATCACCAATGGGGAGTTTAGCCAAGGAACTGAGGAATATGATTCAAGAGATATGGAGAGTCATGCTGATGTCATAGAAACCCGTGAATCAGGATCTGGGGTTCTCCACTCAGGACAGCAAGTCCCCCTTGATTCTTCAGGTCCTCTTCCATCCCGTCAGTTCTTGTGCAGAACAAGGAGCATGGCCCAGCGCCAAGCTCAGGTTTTGCCCAGATCCCAGCTGTCATTAGCAACAGTAGACCCCAAGCTTTCCCAGTATGCTCATGTCCGCCTTGAAGGCCCACTTTTTGGAGGCAGGCAGTGCTGGCAGCACTCTTCTTCAGACAAGATGGAGAAGGAGCAAGCAGAAGAGCAACATCTTCCTAAGCGAATGGTTTCCTTCCCCCCTTTTGTGCCACCCAAACGGCTTCGACTGGTAGTGAGCCATGGCTCCATAAACCTTGAGGTGGCTGCAAGCTCCTGTGAGGAACTGTCCTGATCTGGCTGATCTCCTGTGACTGAAAACAGACTTTAGCTTCTGACTGAATTTACCCTTGATAACCAGGGCAAAACCCATCTACCAGAATTTGTCTGAAATTATCCAACTTTTTGTCTTTGTTGAGCCCTTCTCCCAATCACCTTGTATGGGTTGATAACATCTCTTCTAAAGTAATGTCCCCAGTGGGCACAAGGTATTCTCTGCTAGAAACACTGCATTTTGTTCTATTCCTTCTTTTTCCTGTTGAAGATGATATTTCAGTTATCTTTCCAGGGTACTTCCTTCATCATATCCTCACTGTTCCTTTAAAAAATTGCTCTCCACTACTTTGCCAAACCTTACTGTATACCCTTGAAACTTAAGCCATATAGTAGACTGCATGGATGCTTGGGATTGCCGCCTGGTCTTTTCTTTGAACTCTGCTTTCTCTGCCACAGAGTCCTTTCATCTCTCTACTCTAGATGTCCCCATGCTCTGGTTTATAGCACCATAATCATAGACTTCTTGGCAGATGGACGTGGTATTTTGGTATTTATTGTCCCTACAGAGTGAGGCAGCATTGGTGAAGTGACTTGTGGAGAAAAGAAAACCAGCATCCAATCAGGGAAGTCTCTTTAAAATTTATTGTGAGAAAACCAGCAACCAGAAGTGCACATTGGCATTCAGCCTGAAGGCTGCTCTTTGCTCAACAGGCTTAAATAGGGGGTTAAATGTTCTTGCTCCTCTTCTTTTGCCATCTCACTGTTTGGGTGCCTATTGTTACAAGACGTCTAATTTTCTAGTTTTGGAAGCTACTTTTATATTAGTTAATCTGTGTGACTTGTTTCTTCTCCCTGCTGGAGTTTTAAACAGATGTCTACTGGGGCTTTTTAGAATATTAATGAACTTTAGATTTTCAGGTGTTTTATATTTGATAAAGTTGAGCTGCTTGGCTCAGGGGCATTGTGATAAAGGGGCTTCCTTCTGTGAGAGGCTGATGAGCAGGATAAAAGTTCTACTCAGTTAAATGTGGCTGAGCTCAGTTCAAAGCCACACATGGTAAGTGGATTTTCTGTATATTTTCTCATTCATCTTGCCATGACAGTTCTTAGGATTTTGAGCAGGTATGGCACATTCTGGTGTTAGAAATCTGAGTGCAAGTTATATGGGGAGGTGGTGGCTATTGAATGGGTGAAAACACTGCAGTCAAGCTTTCCCTCTGAGTTCTTGCTTTGTTTTGAAATTTTGTGGAATCCTTTGTGGTGTTGACTCTGGAGTGAATATCCAAGAGTTAGGACAGCCTGATGTTCCTTTTCCAACCCCTCCTTTTTTGTTTGTTCTGTAATTTGGTGCATTTGGTGTTAAGCTTTTCCAGATGACACTGAAAGTCATGTTAAGTTGGGAGTTAAGCTGTGCGCATTTGAGAATAAGTTCCATTAAACTTAGACTTCCTTTTGAATACCAATGGGTAGAATCCAGCAAAGGTTTCTTGATCTCTGAAGTTAGGAATTTATAGAGCTTTTAGAGTAGCATCTAGTTTGTCTGGCATGCATTTTTGCTCTGAGATTCATAATGTATTGCAATTCTGGGTTTTTCATTGCTCTGCAAATAGGTGCTGATTCATGGGAAATCACTGTGGTTTTGAAAGTGGTTTTTAGATGTTAGCCTTTAAGAGGTAGGGTGAGCTGAAGCTGTTCAGCCTATCCTGAGAAGGAAATCATAGGAAGAATGACCATAGACTGGTAATTGTGCATAGTCGTGTAAAAGCATCACATAAAAAATAGGCATGCAGAGATAACAGAAACAGCATTTTTCTATATATTGATTAGGAAGGCATAACAATAGCATCTTTTTGCTAGTGATTTGAATATTTTCTTACAGGTGTTCATGTGATTGTCCAGAATTACCACAGTCAATGCACATTCTTCCTTCTACTCTCCTAGACCCTCATATATATTTATGTATATATGAAAAAGTTAGTTTAAAAAATGTTAGTGAACTTGATATCACAATGCTCACTAAAAGAACTGGGATATACAGTAGCTGAAATTGCACATCTTTTCCTGCTCTATAAGCTTGTTTTATATTTGTTAAAATTTAAAAAAGTAGGCATTTTTTTCTTCCCCAAAAGTTCCATAGTTTAGTAATCATTTAATATTTCATAACAGTTATCCCCGTGACTTCTTGTTAATTGCACATTGTTGTTTAGTTGCATCACAGAATATGTGTGATTCACTATATATGGTACTGTTTTGGTGCCTATATGTGAGTGTCTATGACAATAGTCTTGACCTAAATATAAGGGATGATGTCTCATTAGTTTTTGAGTTTTAAAGAGGCTTCTTCTACAAGATGTGCATTTTCATCTGTGTATCAATGTTTGCACACAGCATAGATAAATGTACTAAAAAGAAACAGGGGTTTTAGTGATTTTTCTGACTTCATGACTCCTATTAATGTGGGCGCCCAGACTTGCTTTCTTGCTTGCTACTTTCCATTTGTGGATGTTCCATGTTAGATAATAGTTGCAGGCTAGTGGCACAGCCTTTAGGTAGTAGCTGTAATGGGGGGAGGGGAGAGAGGAACAAAGAGGGCAAGATGGTCAAGGGTTTTGTGTGGGGAAAGGTCAGGGGTGGGAAGGGTGGATGTTGCTAGTCAGGATACTGTACACTCTCTGTGAAAAGGCAGGCTGGGGCTCAGTTTTCACCTTTCTGTGCCTCTGTTTTTCCCATCTTTCCAGGTGGGTTTATGGTTTGTGCTACCTCGTTTGGGAAGGGAAGCATCAAGGCACTCTTCCAGTCTCTGACTTCAGTCTTCTTTCAGTCCAGTGTCCATTAAGTCCTGTCATTTCTTTTCCGACTTTCATGCTTCCAGATTAAAAACACGCATGCTCTCATGAGGTGGAATGGTAGCAGATCCACTTATTTTCTGTTCTAGCATCCTGTATGAGTAGGTTTTTAGATCAGCCTGCTTTTTTACTTCTCCATGTCCAGTCTCTGCTCGTTTCCCAGATAATACCATGGTTTATTACATTACTTCTTGCATCTGTTATAAGTCTTTTCAAACATGCTTTTGGCCTGGAGCCAATGTGCCCCCATTTCAAAAGAAAAATTCCACCTCTCCATAAAAGTTATGCTCAGGAGGGTATGCTAAGATACCTTGATTTTCACATAGGTGGGAAAAATAAGCAACCTGGACACTGGGGAAGGTCTCTGGTTGGCTGGGTTCCTCAGGGAGTGGTTGGGTAGAAGCCTGTATATCATTTTCTGCCCCAGTTTTTAACCACAGTGCATCAGTCTAACTACCTGCCTTTTACGGTGGGGTCATTACAAACTTGCTTCATTAGGAAACAAGTTGCTCAGCCCATAATATGCACTAACTAGGATTGTGGGAAATTTGCTCCATTGTACCACTCCCATCTCTCAGCATACTTGCAATGCTTTATTTTAGTAGAGGACTCTTCCAGCAGTTGACCATCCAGAAGAGAGGAGAGGTGGAAGGGGTAACATGGAGCATATTTCTGGGGTATGTGTGTGCTCTACATTAAAAAAAGAAGAAGTAACATAAACCAAGCTCTGAATCTGCATGAATTATGAAAACCAGTTCTTATGTTTTTTCTTTTGTTACAGTGGGCAATATGTTACAGGAAATTTTGCCACGGGAAAAATTGATGAGTGCTTCCCATCTAGCCTAGCTGGTCTGTATATTACAAATCTGCCATCCCAATGTTAAGGGCTAGAATTTCTTAGGTAGAAGAAATTCAACAGGACCTGGACTCAAGCTCAAATCTTGCATTGGTGCAGCATGATTGAGTGCATACAGCCCTGGGTGTATATTAGTTTGGACTAAGCAGGAGAGGGTGGGGAGGGTAGGAGAGGGTTGTCTGTCTTTTTAATGGTGCTATATTTGAAGGGTTGATGGAGGCTACTCTCAGCTCCGGGTGTGGAAATTTGAGGCCTCAGGGTATTTCCTGCCCCATGATCAGGCCGGTATCCTGAAGTGGGGTAAAGGCAGAAATACGTGTTTGTATTTTTAATGGTGTGTGTTGGGGGGGTGCATAATACTTTTTAAAATACTTGATTGAAATAAACTCTTTTAAAACTGTTCCTGTTTCTTGATGTTGTGATATATGTATTGAGTACATGAGAAGGTTAAATGTAAGACTGGCTGTTAGAAGGTATATTTGCAGAATTACTTCAGGTATAACAAATGCTATTTTAAAAATGGACTTTATAAACTATTTCATTATCTAGACTGATAAATGAATGCTAAGAACATTGGACTCAATGTGTATTCTCCTCCCTAAGGGAAGTAGAACATTCTGCAGAGACAGAATGTCTTGTAAACACAAATAAAAAACAGTATACCTGTGGTATAATGATTGAAAATGAAGCTTCATTGTTAAATGATTACATAATATCTAGCAACAGATAGATTGTTCTTCCTTCCCATGCTTTGGCAGAAAGGTCTGTTTTGAACACAGGAAATTTGGGGCTCAAGCAAACAAATTTAAAAACAAAATGAAAATGCTTCACAACATTGAGGATAAATCTGATGTTATAGTTTGAGTGCTGAACAATAATGTTTCCTAGTAAGATATGTTATTGTTTCTTTACATCTTGCCTGCATGGCATCTTAATGTAGGCATATTTCAGTTCAGGTCTTTTATTATTTTGTCATGAACCCAAAATACAGTGGTACCTCGGGTTACGAACTTAATTCGTTCCGTGACTCTGGCTGCAGCCCGAATTGGTCGCAACCCGAAGCAAATTTCCTCATAAGGTTCAGTGTAATTACCGTTAATCCATTATGGCGTGGAGGACAGGGAGGCGGCTGTTGCTTGGAGGGAGAGTCCCCCTCCCTACAACCACGTGTCAGGGGCAGAAAATGGCCGCGGACCATGTGTCAGGGGCGGAAAAATGGCCGCGGACCATGTGTCA